GGGTGGAGGTCTCAGTGCTGTGTGGATCGGAGAGGGGGGGGGTACAGCCGTGCTAAGTGGGCTCGGGGGGGATTAGAGCCGCCTGCCCCCTCCCTCCTGCCCCGGATCAGCTGTGGGCAGCGGGGAGCTGGAGGCAGCTGCGTGGGGGCGGAAGCTGGGCTATTTCAGGGGGTGTAAGGGGGGGGCTGTGGGCTGGCACTGTCCTTGCTGGGTGACCCCACGGGATGGAGCATCAGGGTCTGTCCTGTGCCAGCAGTTCTGGGTGCTCAGGGCACCAGCAGGATGGGTGGGGGGCAATGTCACCCATCCATACTCCTCCTGCCCCCCACCCCGGGGCTGTGTGATGGGACCTGGGGGTCTGACTGCCCTGCCCCCCCCCCGGAGGGGGGCTCTGTCTGTGCGCTGTGGGGCGATGGGAGCAGAGCTGCCCCATTTGGATCCCACTGCCCATGGGGTCTGTGGGGCAGAGGCAAGAGCACGGCGCTCTGCAGTGCCCCCCTCCCACCATCCTGGCTGCAGGAGGTCACCCTCAGCTCCTCCCTGCTCCCCCCCCCCACACACACCTCAGGGTGGTGGGTTTCACCCCTACTGGGATGGCCGGACCCCGTGGTTGCTGTTGACCATTTCCTTCCTGTTCCCCCTCAGTTTTAGCAACCCCTTCCTTCCCTGTTCCTTCCTCCTGCCTCTACGCAGCGCCGTGTCCGGGTGCATCCGGGGACAGGGCAGCATCCGACCTCGTCTGCTCCATAGGACACCCGGGCTCAGCACCTCCAGGAGCAGGGGGGGGTGTGGGGGAGTGGGGTGCTCTCCATGGGGAGCTCCGCACGCCTTCCATCCCGGTGGTGCTGCTGGACATCAGGATCCCAATGGTGGCCGTGGTTCGGTGCCGGTGCTGCCCTGTGAACCAGGCCTGGTGCCGGGATGCTTTTGAGCCATGCTCCATTCTGGCTCTGCGCATCCCAAACGGTGCCAGGTGAGGATGGAGCGTGGCTTCTCTCGCAGCCCACCGGAGAGATCCCCATTGGGTGCACCCCCCCCCCCCTCCAAGCTGGGTGCTGCACCCCCTCTGCGGCCGGTGCTGGCGCCGGGGACGGTTGCAACACCCCCAGGGTGGGGGGGCCGTGGTGAGTCACCCCCCCCTCCCCTCCAATGGGGCCCGGCCACCAGCGGGAACCCTGAGTCAGGGCTGCGTGCCCATGTGAGCCCCTCCCTGCCCGCCTCGCCCACCTTATCTCCCGCCCTTAGCACCTGGCACACCTGGGCCAGGGGGGGCTGGCGCCGTTCCCCTCCTTTATGGGGAGCAAAGGGCAGGGTTGGCAGGCAGGTGCCACGCTCCCTCCCTCCCTCGCGGGGTTTTTGGTGTGGGTCCTGTGCCCACCTCTGGTTCTTGTGCCCACCTCCGGGTCCTGGCAGCTCAGAGCATCACGGTGCACCAGGAATGCAATCGCTGAACCGTGGTGACACGCAGGTGCCCACGGAGATGCCATGGGGTGGCTGCTGCCCCTCTGCCTGCCCTCCCTTGGGGCTGAGCTCTTGCACAACGCACGGCAGCGTCTTTCTGAGAACGTTGCTGGAGGGGCCCCCCCCTTCCACACACACGCACACACACACGTCCCCCCCCCCCCCAGCAGCTGCAGTGCTCTTCCCCTTTCTGCCTCCTGCTGGCACGGCTGTGGGTGGGATCTGGGGGGGTGGGGTGGGGGGTTGGAGCCCCACTGCGGCCCCGTGGCACTGCCCATCCGGGTGCTGTGTTGGTGTGGGCGGGTGCTGGGGTGTGGGGCTGCAGCTCGGGCACTAATTGCTGTTTGGCTGGGGACGCAGAGGGTGTAATTATGGGGGCATTGCGAGAAGCCTGAGCCTGCCCCAGGGAGCAGGGGGGGGTGGCTGGGGGGGGGGGGTGAGGGGGATGTGGCCAGGGGGTGTGGGATGGAGGAGGATGGGTGCCATGGGGTGGCTGGGACCATCTGAGAGCCCCCTCCCTGGGTTATGGTGTGCTCAGGGTGTTGGTGCCAGGCTTCCTGCAGCACACACGTCTGCCACAGTGCTGTGTGATGGGACCCATGGGGCGGGCATTGGGGTCAGCTATAGGGGCACAGCAGCACCCATGGGCAGTCTGGCATTGGGGTCTGCTGTAGGGGCACAGCAGGACCCATGGAGCTGGTTATAGGGGCATAGCGGCAGCCTGGCATTGGGGTCTGCTATAACAGGGGCACAGCAGGACCCATGGAGATGGCTATAGGGGCATAGCGGCACCCATGGGCAGTCTGGCATTGGGGTCTGCTATAATAGGGGCACTGCAGGACCCATGGAGATGGCTATAGGGGCACAGCTGCAACCATGGGCAGCCTGGCATTGGGGTCTGCTATAATAGGGGCACAGCAGGACCCATGGAGATGGCTATAGGGGCACAGCTGCAACCATGGGCAGCCTGGCATTGGGGTCTGCTGTGGGGGCACAGCAGGACCCTTGGGGATGACTGTAGAGGTGCAGCAGCACCCATGGATGGCCTGGCTTTGGGGTCTGCTATGGGGTCACAGCAGGACCCATGGATGGGCTGGCATTGGGGCTGGCTGTGGGGTCACAGCAGCACCCATGGGCCTGGCATTGGGGCTGGTTATGGGGACACAACAGGACCCATGGATGGGCTGGCACTGGGGCTGGCTGTGGGGTCACAGCAGGACCTATGGGTGGCCTGACACTGGGCTGGTAATGGGGTCAAAGCAGCATCCATGGATGGGCTGGCATTGGGGTCACAGCAGGACCCATGGATGGGTTGGCACTGGGGCTGGTTATGGGGACACAACAGGACCCATGGATGGGCTGGCTATGGGGACACAACAGGACCCATGGATGGGCTGGCGTTGTGGCTGGCTATGGGGTCACAGCAGCACCCATGGATGGGCTGGCTATGGGGTCACAGCAGCACCCATGGGTGGCCTGACATTGGGGCTGGTTATGGGGACACAACAGGACCCATGGATGGCCTGGCTATGGGGACACAGCAGCACCCATGGATGGCCTGGCTATGGGGTCTCAGCAGGACCCATGGGTGGCCTGACATTGGGGCTGGTTATGTGGTCACAGCAGCACCCATGGATGGGCTGGGTATAGGGTCACAGCAGGCCCCATGAATGGGCTAGTTACAGGGTCACAGCAGCACCCAAGGATGGGCTGGCTATGGGGACACAACAGGACCCATGGATGGGCTGGCACTGGGGCTGGCTGTGGGGTCACAGCAGGACCTATGGGTGGCCTGACACTGGGCTGGTAATGGGGTCACAGCAGCACCCATGGATGGGCTGGCTATGGGGACACAGCAGCACCCATGGTTATGGGGTCACGGCAGCACCCACGGATGGCCTGACATTGGGGCCGGCTGTGATGGCACGGCAGCAGCCACGGGCCTGGCATTAGGGCTGGTTATGGGGCAGAGCAGGACGGGCATGCGCAGGGGGGCCGAGGACAGGCTGTGGCACGCTGCACCGAGCCCAGCCCTGCGGTGGCAGCCCGGCTCCCGGCCGTGGCCAGCAGTGAGCAGCCGGCACCCATCGCCCAGCCCCGGGGCGGCGGGAGGGACGGGAGCCGCACGGTGGTGACACCGTGGCGATGGGGAGGGGATGGCTGCGGTGCGGTGCCAACCGTGCCGGCACTTTTGGGAATTTCCTCTGCTGGGAAAGGGGGGGGGTTCGGGGTTCCCCCTTGCCCCGTTCCGGGTTTGGCGTCGGCTGCAGAAGGGTTAATGCTGTGTGTGTTCTGGGAAGCGGGGCTGGGAGGTGCGTGACCCGGGGTGTGGGCGTCGACTCCTTTTGAGGTGGGATCCGAGCTGAAGTGCAGCGGGGAGCGGGGCCAAGTTCACACAGCAGCACCCTGCACCCTCCCTGCCTCCGCCGGAGCAGCGCCCGGCCACGCGGGCACAGGCGCCAGGTGAGCGGCGTTGCCCACCCCGCTGCCATCCGTGGGGATGGGGATGTGGGGTGGGAGGATGTGGGGTGGCAACGGGGCCGTTTCCAGGTGGTTTTGGGGCTGGCTGGCGGTGGGATGCTGGCGTCGTGAGAGCCCTGCAGTTGGGATGGGGAGGATGGGATGGGATGGGATGGGCGGCACGGCGCGGCCACCGTGGGGTCCCCTCTGCTGGCACATGGCACGGGGATGGTTTTGGTGGTGGGTTGGGGCCACGGTGCTGGGATGGGGCCCTATGGGTGGTGGGTTGGCCCCGGTGGGTGAGGGGTGGTGGGTTCCCGCTGCAGGCGATGGTGGGGACAGCGTTGAGGACGTGGCCTTGAGTCCGGCACTGCGTGGCGTGGGGCTGAGCACCAGGATGGGGCTGTGCTGTGATGTGTGCCCACATTGCTGAGGGCTCAGCCCCGTGGCCGTGGGGAGTTTGAGGTTTGGGGGCAGCTGGGGGGGTGCATAATGGGATGGGGTCCCGCTACGGGGCGGCTCACCCCCCTGGCTGTGGGGTGGGTGGGTGCTGTTTACCCTCTCATCTCTTCAACCCATTTCCTTTCTTGTGTGCTCGCTGTTTTCTTCTTTCAAAGAGTGGGGAGCGCTTCCCCAGCCCTCATCCGGGCTCCCCTCCGACACCGGGACCCCCAGGACCCCCACCCACACACTGGGGCCACCATCCAGGCCAGACCCCCCACCCGCCACCCATTACCACCCTCCAGCAGGTGCTGTTGGGCAGAGGGCTGCGCAGCCCCCATCCCACAGCCACGCCGACCCTACGGGGCACCCAGGCTGCCTTTGGGGATGGGGTGGGTGGGTGGGTGGGGGGACGCCCGGCCGTTTGGGTCCCTTCCCAGCTCCCAAAGGGCCCCGTGGGGCGAGGGGCCGGGCGCTGCGCTCACCTTCCTGGCTGACTCATTCTCCCCATTGCAGCTGTGAAGTCCCTCGACAGCGCGGCAGCAGCTGGGAGCACCCCGAGGTGGGGGGGGGGGGCAACGCTCCCCAGGACCCCCATCCCCATCGTCCACCTGCACGCGGTGGGGAGGACACGGTCTGGGGTCCCGGTCCGGGTGCGGGTTGGCCCCATGCCCGCGTGCGGCCCCACGGCGCGGTGGGGCTGGCAGGTGCCGTGGGGCCGGCGGTGCGGTGTCAGGGTGACCCGCAGCCTATTGTTCCCATTGCAGCGTGCTGGGGGCACGGCTGCCCGTTCGGCACGGGGAACGAATCCCCCCCCCTCCCCACCCCCCTCCTCTCTTTTCCTCAACCCCGCGCGGCCGCCGAGGGCGAAACGGGGCCCGGCTGCGGGCATTGACGTAACCGAGAAAGTGCTGCTCTTTGGGTGGGGGGGGTGGGGGGGACGGGCAGCGTGATGCTCCCCTCCCCATCACTCTGCCCCCCAAGGGGACATTGTCCCCGTGTGCCATCCGAGGGTCTCCGTGGGGCTGGGGGCGGCTCCGCCAGCTTCACACCTTGCTCCCCCCCCGCCCCCCAACCCCCCAGTTTCCTTATCACCGCTGCGATCTCCTCGATGGCACCCGCTCAGCATGTGACTTCGCTCCCGTGGGGAGGATGCGCGGGGGGGGCCGGGGTGTCGGGGGAGAAGCGGCGGACGGGCGGTTGGGCGCGATGGAAAATCCCCCTCCTGCCACCTCCCCGCCCCCAGCGCCGGTCCTTCATCCGCGGGCATCCGCCCGGGGGTCCCGGCTCCATCCTTCGCCCCCCCACTTCGCTATCAGCGGAAGGAGCGCTGGAGATTCGCCCACCCCCTCCTCCCCACCCCCCCTCTCCCGAAAACGGCAGAGATGTGTGAACAGCAGCCGTGCAGCGGCCTGGAAGCAGCGCTGCGGTGCTGCGGGGGTCTTTGCGCGCTGCTGAGCCCCCCCTGCGTGAAGCTGCACCCGGCCGAGCACAGCAGCGCTGCCGGCCCTGCGAACAGAAGGAGCTGCGAGGCGCAGGGATGCGGAGTGCGACGCGCACCAGTCCGTCTGTCCATCCTGCCACCGCGTGCCTCCCATCCCGCCTCAGCCCCGGGTTTCTCGATGGCACCGCGTCCCCGTCCCCCCGTCCCCCCCCCTCCCACGAAGCGCAGCGCGCTCACCTCCCCTAAT